ATTTCCAAGGCTGTAAATCTTTACACAAGTAGATTGTCCATCTTCCTTCCACAGAGCAACTAGTGGGTTTGAACCACTGATCTTCCAGGTAGCAAACAATTGACTTATCCACTATACTACCAGAAATCCTTAATAAAGTCTTAAGATGCTTGATTACATCTCTGATTTCTTATGGAGCTTTGAGCTCTGTCTACCCTACCTGGCTGTGATGAGGCTGGTGTGGATATCAGTGCCTGGTGTGTGGTACTCTCTAGCTGCTTCTGTTATAAATCTCCACTAGGTAAATGTTGCCAATTTAAATTTTGTACATACAGCCCTTAGTTACCAAGATATCTAGACATTAGTCTTGTATATTTGTCATTACAGATTCTTACTAAATGAATAAAAGAAATTGGTTTCTAGAAAAATCTAAGATACCCCTGAAATTGTCAGATTCTACAAGGACTCCCAAATACTTAGCTGGTATTAAATGCCTCCCTATGTACCCTCTTTTTGGAACTTGCATCAGCTAAGGGGTTGGGCAGGTGACAAGGGCAAACTACAGACTAGTTGGCCTATGGCCATCTGTATTTCCAGCACACCCATTTCCTTTCAGGATTCCAGAACTCCAGGCAAACACCGCTACTCTGAGCAGAGAAGACAAGCAGGCAGCTTGTGGGCCAAATGCAGTTTGAAAATGGGTTTTGTTTGGCCGCTCATATTTTAAAATTGGAAAATTTCACATAAAAATCTTTATTTTCCAGCTTTTCTTGGTCTGGGCAACAATAGGCTGAAACTGAGTGGCAGTGGTGCCTTTACCAGCCATCTCTCCAGCTCTGGACATGGCCTCACTTTGCCTGTTGCATTTGACTAGTTTCCATCATTTCCATGAACTGCCTGTAAATGTACAGTGTGAACAGCACTCTCTGGGGTCAAGAATTACAGTCCACCTTGCCTGGAGGAATTTGAGTGTGTGGCTTCTCAGCTAAACATTTCTTCAAAGCCTGCTTCAAAGTTCAGCACCAATCCTTTGTTACAACCCTCGACTGTAAATATAAAACTTTTGTCAGTATGTTTACTCAACATGTATTTGCTTTTCTTTTAAATCTCTTTGTATGTACAATAATTATGCCAGTCTCAGGATAAAGAGGAGCTGTGGCTTACCTGTCCTTGATATGCTGTTGCAGTTGTTAGGTACTGTCGAGTTGGTCCAACTCATGAGACCCTCTCTATGTACTACAGAACAAAGCACTTCCCAGTCTGGTTCCATCCTCCAGTCATTTTTTTGCTTGAGCCCAGTGTTGCAGCCACTGTGTCAAGCCATCTCATTGAGGGGCCTCCTCTGTTTCACTGACCCTGTTTTACTATGCGTGATGGGCTTCTCCAGACACTGGTCCCTCTTGATAACATGACCAAAGTATGAGGTGAAGTGTTACCATCCTCACTTACAAGGAGCATTCTGGCTTCACTTCTTCCAAGGCAGATTTGTTCATTATTTTGGCAGTCCATAGTACATTGAACGTTGTTCACTAACACTGCAATTCAAACTTACCAATTCTCCTTCCTTATTCATTGTCCAGTTTTCACATGCATATTAGGTGATTGAAAATACCATGGCTTGGGTCAGGCACACCTTCGTCTTCAAAGTGACATCTTTGCTCTTTAAAACTTTAAAGAGGTCTTTTCCAGTAAATTTGCCTAATGCAATATGTTGTTTGATTTATTGACTGTTGCTTCTATGGACATTGTGGATCCAAGTAAAATGAAATCCTTGATAATTTCCACTTTTTCTCCATTTATCATGATGTCGCTTATTGGTCCAGTTGTGAGGACTTCTGTTTTCTTTATGCTGCAATGTGATCCATATTGAAGGCTGTAGTCTTCAATCTTTATTAGTGAGTACTTCAAGTCTTCTTCACTTTCAGCAAGTAAGGTTGTGTGACCTGTCCTTGATAAGCAGAGATTTATTTCTGCCTTTGAATTTGACTCTATGGACAGCTGAACTTGTTTTACAAAAAACATACACTCACAGGGAATGTCTGTCAATATGGTACAAGGTGAAAAGAAGCTTGCTGGATTCATTTTGAATCTACTTCTCACCTGATGTCTCCAAGACAGTAACACTAGTTGCCACAAAGGCCAGCTCATTATTACCTTCATGGGAGCTGGGTTTCCTCATCACCTCCATTCTTTCCTTCATCAACATTTTCTTCCATGCTGTCATTCTGCAGAGGGTTAATTTTAGTCTGCTGACACATTGAGAAGAATCTGATTCATTCCCCACATGGTCCCAGAAATGTGCCCAGACAATCAGTGTCATTATTTTATTCTCATCTTGTCTTTCATAACAATGTTATCACACAGTTTCTGCTATCTGTTATCATGTAACAAAATATTTCAATACTGGGCTCTGAATATCTTCAGATTATTTCCTTTTGTTTGTTTGTTTGTTTAGTATATTACAAACCATTAGGATAACCTCATTGTCAGGAAAGCTTGCCATTGACTGGGTAGGCAGTTCTAAAAAAAAAAGAGTTGCAAAGCATTGAAAAGCGTCATTAAATAAGCATGTTATCACCAAGGCCCTAGTGTTGGAGGGGTAGAGTGAAGGTTTCATAAGTTTCGATGCATTATTATTGTATTCACTGGCAGCGTTGTGTGCAAAGTAAAATGTTTATTCATTTCATTTCATTTATTTACTTAACATACATATTCTGGATTTACTCTGTCTCAAAAACTGTTCTAAGCACTTTATACATATTAACTTTTAAATTGTCTAAACAACCTTACAGGATAGATGGTATCATGATCCCCAGTAAATACATATTCTCATCTATAAAGACGAGGAAACTGAAGCACAAAATTTTAAGTGACTTACTCAATATTACGTTGGTTAAGCACACAATGGTTAAGCACTTGGCTGCTAACCAGAAATTCAGCGATTCAAACCCACCAGCCACTTTGTGGGGAAACAATCTTGGTCACCTTCTCCCATAAAGATTACATACAGCCTAGGAAACCCTACAGGGCAGTTCTGCTCTGCCCTATAGGGTTGCTACCAGTGAGAATCAACTCGACAGCATACAAAAACAGTAACTGGTAGGGCCAGGGTTTGAACCCAGGCCTGTCAGGCTTCAGAATCTGTGCTCTTACCTACTGCAACCATTAGCTATTGTTGCATAATACCCCCAGACTTAGTGGCTTATAGCATCAATCACTTACTATTTTTTCTCAGTCATTCAGTTAGCTGGGCAGTCTGCTGATTTGGACAAATCTCAGCTGATCTTGACTGGACTTATCATTTACCTGTGTTCAGCTGAGGGCTGGCTGGCCTAGGACAGCCTTGGCTAGAGTAACTCAACTTGCCTCCGTATGGTCTCTCATGCTCCAGAAGAGGTCAGGAAAAGAGAGGGGAAATTCAGAAGTTTTACTTCCAGGCTCTGCTTGGGTCAAGTTTGCTACTCTCTTATTTGCCCAAAGAAAATCACATGGTCACATGCAAAGTGAGTGTGGGAGGGGTCACTACCAAAGGGCATGGATGTAGGAAGGTGTAAAATCGAGCCCTTTAATGAAATTACACTTCCACACTCATATGGAGCTCTGGTGGTGTAGTGGTTAAGGCATTTGGCTGCTAACTAAAAGGTTGAAGGTTTGAACCCACAGTTTGCTCCATAGAAGAAAGATGAGGCAAGATGCTTCCATAAAGATTCACAGCCTTGGAAACTCAATGGAGGTCACTGTGAGTAGGAGTCAACTCGATGTCAGAGAGTTTGGTTTGGTTCCACAATCATAGTACAACACCATGCTGTTTTTACCCTGCTTTCAAGCCAGTTTCAAATTCGATATTTCAGACTCCAAGTGAGTTGTGAAACACTACAAAATATAGCCTTCTTGGTTTGGAAAGCCAAGACAAAGAATAATAAGGAAAGTGGAAAATGAAAGGATGTCTATGATTTTAGGCTGAGCCCGGGGAAACACCATCCGAAGCTCCCAGTGAAGCCGGGACAATTCCAGCAGAAAATGGAGTGAATCACACTACATCCCTGACACCCAAACCACCCTCCCAGGCTGTGCATAGCCAGCCAGCTCCAGGTAAGCAATATAAAAGAAGAGCTTTACAACAAGACTATGAGTCTCCAGCTTATTGCCACTGAAGGGGGCAGCATGATTTGGCCGCCTAAAACATCAAGTGAGGAAGGATGCATGGATTTAGGAGATACGCCATAAATGTGGAATGAATGAATACCCAGAAACTCATAAGTATTCCTTGGGCTCTGGTGATGAAGTCACACAAAAATTCACCTGGGTTTTCCATGCCTTTATTTAATGATGGGGTGTGATCCAGCACCAGCAGGGCTTGTGAAGAGTTGTTCAAGTAGTTTGTAAACATCAGTACTTTAGAAGCCCTTTCTTAGTCCCATCTCCCTGCATTAGGTTAAGTCCATGATAGGAATTCCCTTTCCTCTCTCTTCAGCTTACTTTTCAATAATATTGAGCATCTATAATGTATCGGGTAGTCTGCTAAACCCTTCCCATGGATGATCTTATTTTGCCCTCATGTTGTTATTGTGGTTACTTGCCATTGAATCAGTTCCAACTCATGGTGGCAGTAGATGCAATAGAATGAAACATTGCCCAATCATATTCTATCTTCATGAAATATTACTATGTTTCAGTCCATTGTGGTGGCTGTTGTATGGACCCATCCCACTGAGGGTTTCCCTTGTTTAAGTTGGCCATACTTTACGAACCTTGCTGTCCTTTTCTCATAATTGGTCTTTCCTCATGACGTGTCACCTTCCTCTCTTCTAAGGAGCAATCAGCATTAGATTTTAAAAAGACTACTTGTGAGAAACTATATAGGGGGCACAATTACAGGGGCTTCCTAAGTATATCCAAACAGCTCACACGATTGGTTTACAATGGTGAAAAGACTTGGGACTACAGTTTACAGGACAACTTAGTCAATTAGCATAACATAGCTCACAAAGAAAATGTTCTATATCCTAATTTGATGAGTAGCAGCTGGGGTCTTAAAAGCTTGCAAGTAGTCGTCTAAAGTACAAATATTGGTCTCCACTCATTGCCTAAGGCATTTGACTGCTAACCAGAAGGCTGGAGGTTCAAACCCTCAAGCCACTCCTGGGAAGAGAGATTGGGCAGTCTACTTTGGTAGAGATACTGCCTCAGAAACCAAAGGAGGGGCCGCTGTGAGTCAAATCGACTCCACAGCAATGAGTTTTGTTTTTTGGTTTACTCATATGGAGCAAAAGAGAGTGAAGGAAATCAAAGATTTGAGAAAAACTAGTTCATGTGACTTTAAACCACACAAACCACAGCCACTTCTAACTGAGACCAGAAGTACCTGGCTACCATTGTGGACTGTTCTGATCAGGAACACAATAGAAAGTCCTGGATAGAATGGGAGAAAAATATAGAAGGAAACTAAAATTCCTAAAAAAGGCAAAGCCTACTGGACCAATGGAAACTAGACTATCACTCTAATAAAACCTTTGAATTTGGAATTGAAACTATTTTTGCAGGTCACCTTTCAGTTGATTGGCTTATAAAATAAAGACTATCACTCATGAGTAATGTGCTTCCTTAAACAATCAACTTTATGAGACCAAACAGTTAACATTTACCCAAATGCAAAAATGTGAAGGCAAGGAAGGGAAGGGCAGCTAGATCAATGGAAACAGAACAAACAGAACGGAAATAATGGGAATGCTGATACGTAAAAATTGTAACTAATGGCACAGAACAATTTGTATGAAAATTGTTAAAGGGGATCTTAATCTGTTACATACACTTTCACCTAAAACACCATAAAATGTTACTGGTTTTTAAATTTTTTTAAAAGACTACTTGTCATTCCTGATTTTGTCAGAAGGTGGCAATAGCATTGCCTAGATTGAATCTGTGAAGCCTACGAGGAGTTTTGGATCAAAGTGGAAGTCTGTGATTTTCTCTCCCTACAGGCGGAGCACATAATTTCACATTTAAGTCAATGTACTTCAAAATTGCAAAAAGGAAGACATTTTTCAGAATATTTCTTTCTCATGATTTGTAATTTATCCCTAAACAGCCTTTGACCCAAAGGCCAAACATAGTTGTACAGGAGAAATGAAGTTTAAAAAGAAGTCCAAGAAAGCTATTTATTTTGTTTTTTTATTGCAGGGTCTGTAAAGGCACCTGCCAAAACAGAAGATCTTATTCAGAGTGTCCTAACAGGTAAGTACCACCCTTAGCCCATAAAATTACACAGCTGAATATTGTGCAGTGTAGGTATTTAAAAGAGAGGAAAATTTCTGCTCATCTCTGAAATATAATATCATTATTATTTCCTCTCTAAAAAAATTACCAATATATAGTCCTATGTTTAGACTGAGTAGCATGTAATTATAGAGAAGTAAACTTACTTGAACAGGAGTCCTGGTGGCACAGTGGTTAAGTACCCAGCTGCTAACTGAAAGGTCAATGGTGTGAACCCACCAGCCACACCCTAGGAGACAGATGAGGCAAGCTGCCTCCATAAAGATTGGAAACCCTATGGGGCACTTCTACTCTGTCCTATAGGGTCACAATGAGTCAGAACTGACTCGATAGCAATGCATTTTTGGAAACTTACTTGGTAGCTGAAACCCTAATAGGATACAAATATCATTTCAGAAGATACTTCCTTTAGAATCAAAGAATACTTTCATACTAGGAACATGACCCAGTGATGAGGATCACGTGTTTTCCCAAAGTGTTAACAAAACATTGTATTTCACATGTGGAGAATATGGTCTCTTTGGGACCATAGAATATATAGGCTTTGAGGGCTATAATTCAGTTTGGAAATATTTTATATTTGATTACTTACATAAACTAGTAGGACTAGTTTTTGAAATTGGTACAAGTTTTTTTTTTTTTTTTAATACATTTAAAAGTATGTATTAAAACCAAAAAAAAAAAAAAACACAACAAAACCTCACTGCCATTGAGTCGGATCTGACTCACAGCGACCCCTCCTAGGGTTTCTGAGGCAGTGTCACTACAGAAGCAGATTGCCCAACCTTCTTTCCGAGGAGTGACAGGTGGGTTTGAACTGCCAGCCTTATGGTTAGCAGTCAAATGCCTTAGGCACGTCACCAGAGCTCCCATAGTATGTATTAGAGTCTTAAAAATATTTATAGTACTTGACTCAATACACAACAGAAAGGTATACACATATTTACCAAAAGCAGCATGATAGATAAGAGCTAAAAACTTAGCAATATATCTATCAAGAGTAGAGTAAATACCCAGGGGCTGGCTCTCAGCCCAGTAGTTAACAAGATGTACATGCAGACCACTCAACCCAAGATGACACACCCACATACTCTATGGGAATACACCCCTTAGAGCAATAAAGCATGGGACACCAGAGGACCAACATTCAAATTGAGGAAATGCAGGACAAACAGGAGTGCATAAATATGAGGGGCACAGGGGGAGGTTTACAGCGTATGGAGGGGAGGAGACTGGATTAAGGTTGGACATGGTAAATGAGAGTGAAACTAAATGTACACGTAGTGTTGAATGTAAAACAAGCTCTTAAAATAATAATAATAATTTAAAAAAAACTTAAAAAAAAGAGTAGAATAAATAAATAAATTATGGTATATTCCCACAATAGAATAGTATTCAGCTATAAGAGTAAAGAAATTGCAATCATACACAACAACATGGGTAAAATCGACAAGCTTAATGTGGAAGAAAAGAAGGCAGATATGAAAGAGCACAAAGTTCAAACACAGCAGAACTACTCATGCTGTTAGAAACCTGGATTTGGGTTATGCTTGGTGGAGGAAAGGAACTAAAAGGAGGTCTTCTGGGGTACTGGTAATATGCTTCAGTAGCATATCCATTTGGCGAAAATGTATAGGACTGAACATTGATGATTTGTGTACTTTATGCATGTATGCACATTTCATCCAAAAGTCGAAGTAAATTATGCACAGAAAAAAATGTTTGAGGGACATATTTAAACGAGAAAAAACAAAACATACTTTTAAAGATTAAGCTCCATGAGAAACACAATTCAATGTTAAGAATAAAACAAGAGACAGAAATGTACATACAGCAGGATCCCAATGTTATTTAAAAGTACATAGACATAGACAGAAAATGGGTGTATACCAATATATTAGCAGCAGTGATCTCTGAGCGGTATGTTCATGAATGATGTTTTTGTCTATATATAAATGGACATTACTTTTATACCTAAGAATATGTTCGAATAGCCTTTCAACCACAGAGCTTTGATCATAGCTTGGAACATCTTGTACCTTGCTGATAAATTCTCCCCAGCTTATGCATTACAAACCATTTTTGAAGAAGTAGGACTGAATATATCACCAAAAATGCAGCAATTCCTAAGAATAAAAATTCTTAATATAATTAGTATACAACCATAAGGAGTCAATTTGGGCCTAAGAGAAAGCATTAAATAATTGTAACTGAATCTCTCTCCAGCCTCCTTCTCAAAAGGAATCAAATGTCAGGAGAATAGACAAAGTAAGAAAGAAAGAAAGAAGTAGAGAGCATATTTCAATTGCTTACAGATCTTAGCATTTAGGAACATAAATTATTATTGACTTCAATGTTTATCTTAAACATTGATAGCTCATCTTCTATTCAAGTCTGTTGTTATTCATGGCATATATTTTTTCCTGAATCTCCTAACAGTTCTAAATATTTATGAGAACACTTTTTTGTTCCCAGAAGTAGAAACTTCAAATCAAAGGATGGAATCATGTGAACTATGACTTACTGTAGGCCCAAATAAATGATAATTCATTGAAGCTAAGGCACTATCACTTATGAAGCACACCACTGTTCATGTATTGCTAACACAGAAAACACTAACCAACTCTGACAACCCATTGAACATAAGATGCATCTTGATTTTAGAAATATTAACAAAGAAAAAAATGCAGATTCCAGAATTGATGAAATATGTCAATAAATGCAGAACAAATTTAAGGTCAGGCTCAGTGATATTAAGAGTTTTCTTATCAATGGATAAAATATAAGTCGCTATTAACACTTATGGTGACTTTGTGCAAATTAGGTTAAGAGATCTTCCCTCAAGACATTTTACTACTACATACTGGAACACTGTTGTGATAAATACACAAATCTATAAAGTCTATACATGGATGGTGCCCCTTAGCAATGGTGTTGCAGAACCTCTACCAGCACTTGTTAAGCATCTACAGGCACAGCACGAGAACTTGTGTTAAATAGTTTCCATGGACTCTGCCATTTCATCAGCGTAACAACCCTATAAAGTAGTGGAAGTATTATTCTTAAAGTGAGTGCTGTCAGGGCCCCCACTCAGATCCCCTTTACTGCCTGGTACTCCCATCTGTTAGTTGTGGTGAGCATTGGCTGCTAACAGCTCACAACTTTCCTTTTCTCTGAAGAGTTGCCTCAGACAAAAGGAAGCCCCCTGCCTCCCCTACTGGCTGTCCCAACCCTACAAAAGTCCAACCTCCTTACCTCAAGGTGAGACCAGCTTTATGGTACAATTCAGACTCCAGGATTCCACGGAGGATCAGGCCAAACTGTCTGCTTCCCTCGCTCTCCTCCCTAGAGTCTCCCTCAGCAAATCCCATGCAAACCGAATCCCCATCCTGGACACTGCTTCTGGGAAATCAAAACTAAAAAAAGTCCAAATAAATCACAAATAAGAAAATTGAAGCTTTGAGAAGTTCAGTAATTTGGTTGCAAAGTTAGCATGGTGAAGGGCCAGACTGGGACTCAAGATAGGTTTGATATCAAAGCTGTGTCCTTAAGCACCAGCTGACCTAGTTTCTTAGAGGAATGCTCACAAGTGACTGCTATTCTTTTGGCCCTTCCATGTCTATAAGCTCTTATCATCATTTGTTGCAGAAGTGGAAGCACAGACTATTGAAGAGCTAAAGCAACAGAAATCATTTGTGAAGCTTCAAAAGAAGCACTACAAAGAAATGAAAGACCTAGTTAAGAGACACCACAAGAAGACCACTGACCTCATCAAAGAACACACTACAAAATACAATGAAATTCAGAATGACTACTTGAGAAGGAGGGCAGCCTTGGAAAAGACTGCCAAAAAAGATAGTAAGAAAAAGTAAGTCAAATGGTGTGTTTTTTTTTTTTTTTTTAACTTGTTTTCTTTATTAGTGGGGGAGAAAAGTCATTTGCATGAATTCTTGATGTTTTGGAACATGTATTGGACCTATACCACTATCTGAAGGAAAGCCACCCTACTCACTCCATTTTCTAAAGCTCTTGAGTCACTTCAGTTCAGTTTTGCTTGTGGACTGAATGTCTTCATTTGATCAAATTAAGGAACTAAATACACAGTAAGTTCCTCACCTTGAGTTCCAGCTCGTGGCCCCAACACCAATTAGCTGACTCCTTACAATACAGCTGCCAGCTTGGCCGGTATGAAATTTTGCCTTGTACCTAGAACCTAGCAGAAGAGGCTCTTTGTCTTGTAAAACAGAGAAGCACAGCAATTCTTTGTTTCTTTTTCTGAAATCCACAAAGGCCTGTACAAGTGACTCAGCTCCTGTGGTTGGGCTAGGGATCACTCCCAAGTACACAGACTTTGATGGTGGGAATCTTTAACTGCTACTTTGAGTATCTGTACACTACGAAGCCTATGAAATTACATTGCCCAAATATATTTGCTCATTTACTTTGCCAAATTTTATGAGATTACTATTTTAAGTTTGGATTTCTACAATTTCTTCAAACATCTTTGGTAGGCTTATGGTATGAACTTGTTGTGGACAATAAATGGTATAAGGCAGCATGAAGTTCCCTAAGTAACAGTGTTCATTGTTGTTTTGTTTTGTTTTGTTTTGTTTTTGTAGTTTAAATAAGGGAGCTCTGGTAGCGTAGTGCCTAAGGCACTTGACTACTAACCAGAAGGCTGGTGGTTCACACCCATCAGCCACTCCTTGGAAGGAAGACAGGGTAATCTACTTCCATAGTGATACTGCCTTGGAAATCCAAGGAGGGGTCGCTATGAATCGGGTTCGACTTGACGGCACACAACAACAACAACAACAGTTTAGTTAAAAGTACAATTACTTTTAATGGTATTGTTAGGGTACAGACAATCCTTGCCTTCTTCAGGGTTTATTTCGCTAGCCATCAAGGTCATTTTTAACTTTTTATTTTAGTTATTTAGTAAGCACTAATATAGCACAGTAAGGAACTCTGGTGGTGTAGTGGTTAATATATTTGACTACTAACCAAAAGGTCAGTGGTTTGAACCCACCAGCTGCTCCATGAAGAAAGATGAGGCAATCTGCTTCCATAAAGATTTACAGTCTTAGAAACACAATAGGGGTCATTGTGAGTCAGAATCAATGCAATGGCAGTGAGTTTGCAATGGCAGTGAGTTTAGTTTTCTTTTTTTTTTTGAATATAGCACAGAAGGAGCTCTGGTGGCGCAATTGGCTGCTGGCTGCTAACCACAAGTTCGGCAGTTCAAACCTACCAGCTCCTCCATAGGAGGGAGATAAGACAATCTACTTCCACAAAGAATTACAGCCTTTGAAACCTGGGTGTTGCTATAACTGAGAATTGATTCAATGTCAGTGAGTAATAGCAGTGTGAGGCATTGTTCCAAAAACTGTACAAACATCAACTCATCATTTTTAAAATAAAATGTCAATTTTATTAAAAAGCATGTAATGTAGAAAATTTGTAATTTGTAAAAGTATTCATTGGTTCTATTTCAGTGTGTTACAGTTCTCTAATGAATTATTACACTATCACAGAGGTGAGGAAACTTTTAAGTGGTTTTAAATAACCACATTTTTCTATTGTGACAGTATACAAAGTACTCTTATCACCAGATGTTCTGATTTATTTTTATCTTGGCTAGTGAATGGTCAGAGTCAATCCAATGATCTTCATAGCTATAGAAAAACAGAAAATCAAATGTGGAATGGATTGTGCAGTTATTCGAAGCTCTTTCGGAAACATCATCATTGTCTTTCTCATTCAAATGTCCTGAGGGCTTGACTTGCAATAATTGGCACTGTAAAATAAAATTTAATTCTGTAACTACAAATTTTTTAAATTCACCTTGAAACTGTGAGCCTGGAAGCTACCAGTCCAGAGAGCTAAGAGTCAGATAAGCTATATTCCATCCTTGCTTCACTTCTCTTTCTGAATAATCTTGTTTGGATTCTAAGATATACAGAAGACACATTTTTCAGATCCGTACCATTGAAAGTGATTTAACAGGTGCTTAACTTCAAAATACAGCATTAGAGTTCTAAGAAGAAACAAAAGGATAGTTTGTTAGAGCTGGAATAGACTTACTGGTAAACTAGGTAAACTTTGTCTCTGCAAGGAAGAAGCTGAAAGCTATGAGGATTAACATTTACCAAAAGTAAAAGAGTCAGCTCAGGCAAAGGTCAGCCTAAAATTTCTCCCAAATTTATTTTAGTGATATTTATGTAGTCATTCACTCTTTATTTATTCATACACCATATTCTGCAAATTTCCAATAAAGTATTGAAATAACTCATCATAAAACTTACTTCTGACTCAGATAGCAATTTTTTTAAGTCATTCCAGACATGTATGTAGAAGGCCTACTAAAATAGTAAATGATAAACACTCACACAGTCAGAAATGAATACCAGCCATCTAGACCTGTGCTGACCTATATGGGAGCCAGTAGTCACATGTGGTTATTGGATGCTTGAAAAGTGGAATTGAGGTGTGTTGTAGGTATAAAATACACACCACACTCAAAGATGTCATAGAAAAAAGAAGTATATAGAAAATATTTCATATTTTTATATTGACTTTATGGATTTTATATGAACTGTTGTTGTTATGTGCCGTCAAGATAGCCCTGACTGATAGCAACCCCTCCTTGGGCTTCCAAGGCAGTATCACTACAGAAGTAGGATTGCCCAATCTTCCTTCCAAGGAGTGGCTGGTGGGTTTGAACCGCCAGCCTTCTGGTTAGCAGTCAAGTGCCTTAGGCGCTATGCTACCAGAGCTCCTTTAAACAAACTACACATTGAAATGTTAATGTTTTTGGATACATTAAGTAAAATCAAATATAAAATTAGTTTTACTTGTTCCTTTTCACTTTTTTAAGGTGGCTACTCAAAACTTTAAATTACATATGTGACTTGTGTTATATTTCCATGTGGCAACGCTAACCATTTAATATAATTTCTGTCCTGAACACCGAATTTAGCTATTAGCTTCTGAGGAAAGGAAATATAGGCTACATCCTTCTCCTTATTGGATTAAAGGAAATTTGCTTGCTCTTCCAAGAGAGGTAAACATTTTCCCAGTATTAAATTACAAAGGAATTTATATCTCATGGATCTTATACAAGCAGCATGAAGCAACAAAGAAGATAATGCCTTCAACCTTGTTTTCAAAGAACATGCAGGAACATTCTTCACTTTATATATATATATATATATATATATATATACATATATATATATATATACATACACATACTGTCCCTCAAAAATAAAAATATCCCTAAGCTGCTAGTATCCAAAGGTACCACAGTAGAAACTTTTCTTCAGGAAGATGTCTGTGTATCCTGTCTCTCTTGATACACAATAAAAATTAATGAATAATTGCCATTCCATCAGTTTCAAGCTTCAGTGATCCCACTGTGTGTCAGAGAAGACCTGTGCTTGGTGGGGGGCTCATTGTCCAATTTTTCACAAGGCCAGCACCAGGCCTTTCTTCCGAGGCACCTCTGGGTGAACTCTAACCTCAAACGTCTTAGCTAGCAGCCCTGTACTACCCAGATAACTATTTGCACTACCCAGATACACAAAGAGATACACTATAGAGTCCTGAAAATACCTCACAATATTGGATGGATGGCATCATGTCCATTGGAGTTTTTTCTTACGCAAATAGCCATCATCTATGTTCTGGTTACCTAGTGACGCTCTGACAAGAAATATACCACCAATGGGATAGCCTTAACAAACAGGAGTTTATGCTTACAATTTGGAGGCTTTAAGTCCAAGTTCAAAGTGCTAGGTGAAAGCCCCTCAACTTTGGGGTCCAGCTCTGCCTTCTGCTCCTGCCCACTGGAGCTAGAGGCTTTTCTTCACTCAGCTGCTGGCTGCTGATGTTAACAAGTCCAAGGTTGACAAATAAAATGGCATAGTCCTGATGTTACCAAATCACATGGCAGGCCATTAACTTAAGTCCATTGTAAGTCCCAAGATTGGCAGAGCATAGCAGGCTGCTGAGCAATGACATGGCTACATGCAGGGTCCAAGCATGCCATAGGCTAGAGACGATTCCCAAGGCTTTGACTTATATACAGGAAGCAGACCACATCCCAAAGACAGCTACTCAGCTGCTTGTGGTAGATCCCACCATGGAGTTGATTGCTAGTTTCATCATGGGGAATAACTACCACCAGCTGCCCAGCCACTCAACCAGGTCCAACCAAGTTGACATACAAATATAACTACCACAATCTCAACTAGGCTTTCCTCAAAAGGTGAAGAGGAGTTCACTCAAATATATTTTCTGTCTAGACATTGCTGTGCAGTTACTCAATGTTGTTCTCAAGAATGCAGGCTCTGCCCTGCCACCTCTCCCTTAACTGTCTTTCCTCAGTCTCAATGAGTCTCCATTTCCTCAAATGTAATGGAAGATGGCAATACCTACTTATTGGGTTGTTGTGAAAGCCAAATGCCAAGTACGGAGGGCCTGGCACATGTTGAGTGGTCAGTAAATGAGAGTTGCTATGCTACTGCTGCTGTAATGGTTGCATGTTTATGTTCTGACAGTGCTGACTTCCTGCTGTAGGAGATGATAGATATCCTTGTGTTCCCACCAACATGGACACCTCAGCACTGCAGTGTAATTCTGACATATAAGGATCCATGAGCCTTGTACAGTGGTCATTCTCATTTGATACTGCACATAAAAATGCCAATAGAAACCTTTCAGAGAATGCTGCATCTCTTATTTAACATAATACAATCCTGACACTGGTTTTGATTAACTGCTTTCTCCATATGACACCACTGCTGGTGGCCTAATTCAAAGAGAAAGTGAAGGGGATCAGTGCACACTAATTCTAAGTAGCTGTCTGCTAACTAAAAGGTTAGAAGTTTGAGTCCACCTAGAGACACCACAGAAGGAAGGCTTGGTGCTCTAATGCTGAAAAGCCAACCATTGAAAACTCCGTGTTCTACCCTGACACACATGGAGTCTCATGGTCAGAATCGACTTGATAGCAACTTTATTTATTTATTTTTAACCTAATCAATTTCTCAGGGGAGCTCTGGTAGCATAGTGGCTAAGACACTTGCCTGCTAACCAGACAGCTGGCGGTTCAAATCCACCAGCCACTCCTCAGAAGGAAGGTTGGGCAATCCTACTTCTGTAATGATACTGCCTCGGAAACCCAAGGAGGGGTCGCTATGAGTCAGGTTTGACTCGACGGCACATAACAACAACAACAACAATCAATTTCTCACCAGTTCCACCTGATTGCATGTGAAAAACTTGCAGTATATCTTAGAATATGATTTAGTCTTCTTCCTGGAAAGGGATTTCATATAATTTAAAAGACTGGACCTGCTCTTGCTACTCCATTCCCAATATTCTGTTTCTTTTTCTATTTTGTTCTATAAGTAGTAATATGAAGTACATAATTTGAAAGAATCATACCTTATTATTAATATGCTAATAAGTTAGTGAGAACTTTTTAAAATTTACTTCAACATTAGCCCTAAACTTGTAAATATCTGTTATGGTTCTCTGACTGCGAACAATTAAAAGGAAATCATCTTTCACAGAGTAATTACTCAGGACATGTTTGTAAATTGAACAAATGCATCCTCCTTACTCTTGTGACCTAACGATTTTGAGGAAATACCGTTTGCGGTTGGTACAAACCCAGAAGAACCATACTTTATCAACGAGTCCTTGCTATTAAAACCTATTGTCAGGAAATGAAACATATCAGCTGGGAACCTACAACATGGCGTCTGAACATACACTTTGTTTTCATTCCACATCACCTTCGATGCAAAATGAGGCAAGACTGCAACTTCCCCAACAGAATCCACTCAATGTAGAGCTTATTGAAATTTTAATAAGGGAAATATATCTGGCAATAATCACGTTAAAAAAAAAATACAAAATGTTAAAACTATCAAAATCCTTACTAGACACTGTTTTTTTCAGAGTGAGAATCATCATGACTACCACCAGGGCTCTCAGCCTCTTGGCTCTTCTTTCTACCCCTTCCTCTTTTTTATAGCAACACAACTTTGTTTGGAGACCCTCCATTGTTTGAGCTTATCCTTGCCACCTTCTACCCCAAGTGACTAATTAATTGTTTATTTCCCAACAATCCCAGTCATCTCTGTAGGAGGAACTCCAGTGAATGGCATACACTCCTTCTTGTCACCACCTGTAAGCTCTATAATCAAGCACTGTGTCTTTGCAGATCGGAACCCAGCAGTCCAGAGTCATCAACGATTGAACAAGATCTTGCTGCACTGGATGCAGAAATGACCCAAAAGTTAATAGACTTGAAGGACAAGCAACAGCAGCAGCTGCTTAATCTTCGGCAAGAACAGTATTACAGTGAAAAATACCAGAAGCGAGAACATATTAAACTGGTAAGCTGTAGCATCACTAGGGTTGCTGTCATCAATGTGGTAACTATGGTTATTACCCTCCCCCATGGGCCTTCTCCCATACCAGACCATACAAGATCCTTAGGAATCTATGTAATTCATTTTAATCATAGAATAATATGTGATATAGTTATATATTCTTAAATGTAGTATTTGTTAGTTTATGAATACTAACAACAAAACTATTTTATAAAATCTATCATCTGCACTGAATTATAACATTATTAGTTACAACAGTATTAGTATCTGAGTGAGAGCCTGTTTTTGACTTTTCTTTCTTTTCTTTTAATTGCTACTTCATTATCAAAAAAAGTTATTGACATAGGTTTACAAATACTAATTACCACAATATTGTAGCTAAAACACCAGAAAATTTAACAAAATCAGCAACTATAAACAACAGTGTATGCTTGTAGCATGGGCAGATGAAACCATGTGATTCAGAGCATCATTGTAATTGAGTAATAACAACAGCTCTGACTACAGCACATTTAAAGGTTCTAAAAGTAAATTAGCGTAGAGTTTTAGCCTTGTAGGTATATTGATACATGTAAGCTAAATTTACGAAAAATGTTTTCATTGTTATAACTAACTTCAGGGATATTTTATTAAAAATAATAACATTTTTACTGAAGCACAAAAATTTTGGGGACAGCTATTTTGGTGTTACCCCTTCTGAAAATGTCACCTGGTGTGGACCGCACACGTCCCACACCCTGCTAGTGGGGCCACTGCTGGTTATCCCAAGAAACTTGATTTATGTTTGCAGGGCTATATACCCTTCTTTTCTACAGAAAATGTTTCTATAAGATACCTTAAATGGAAGCGTTTAAAGTTTCTTTGATACCTTAAATGGAGACAGGAGCAACTCTGGCTGGAATTATCTTGGGGTTTAGTGTGGGGTACTCTAATATTTTATTATAAGCTCCACTATTCCAGCAGTTTTACCAAGCTCCTCTCTATTCCTCAGTGAAGATGAGTTTTATCACTTTCATTTTCATTAACTTATATTTTGCATTATAATAGCTCTTGTGGATCTTTGCAATTTCACAAGGAAGTAGGAAACACTTATATCTTTTTTTTTTTCTTTTTATTGTGATTTGGGTGAAGATTTACAGAGCAAATTCACTTTCCATACAGTAGTTCACATATATTTTGTCTCATGTCATTAACCACAGTTTACCACAATGCAACAGCTCCCCTCTCACTTCCTCCCCATAGTTACCTCTTCCCAGTGTCTATCCCTCCATACTCTCCTGCCCCCTGAGCTGTCTCCCTGTGTATAAGCAGCCCTTCCTTCTCCCATGATTGTTCTCTCTAAGACGTGTGTCTACTTGAGGTAAATGTTTAACTCACATGTCTGTACTTTGTTTGGCTGGAAACCAGGAAACACATATCTTAAAAATATGCTACAAAAAATTCTTATTTATTTACTTATTTATTGTATCACTGGGCTTTGCAAGAACTTAAAAAAAAAAAATAGAATCTACTCTCCTGCATTTAGATCAGTATCTAAAAGGTCAATATACAATGTTATCTGCCCAATTCCCAAGGCTCCTTATGAAAGAAACACCATCATCTCCATTAATGATCAGTTTATCCTCCAAAAATGTTTTCTAATGAATTGTGCCTTTCTCTCCATTGTGACTGATGCCTTAGTACATAGTTAACCAAAACAAAACTCACTGCCATCAAGTCAATTCTGACTCATGGCAACTCTATAGGACAGAGTAGAACTGCCCCCGTAGGGTCTCTGAGGCTGTAATCCTTACAGAGCATACGCTACATCTTTCTCCTACAGAACAGCTGATGCCTTCTAACTGCTGACCGTTTAGTTAGTAGTCGAGTGCTTAACCACTGCACCACCAGGGCTCCCTTGACACATAGTAGGGAGTTGATAATTATTTAGTGTCAGAAAGATTAAGTAAATCTAGCATTAAAGTACCCTTGAAACCAAACTTTTGCCCAACACAAAACAAATGAGAGGGCTTGATAGAATTTAAGGTAGTGAACTCAAAGCAAATGGGCTCATTGAGGTATCGGTGTGACCCCTCCATTTTTTTTGTTGAGAGGTCTGTGCATATAAGAGAATTCAGTGCAGTTCTATTGTCCTAGTACAATATGCAACATGTCCTAATAACAATATGCAAAAAACTTCATTAAAATCACATGAAGAACTTACCAAAATCATATTGCACAAGATCAGTTATTCTCAACTTGAGACTACATCACAATCAACTGGAAGGCTTGTTAAAACATGCATTGTTGAGCTCAACACTCAGGTTTTTTCAGTTCAATAGGTCTGGGCAGGTAATTTTGCTGCTTCACATCCCTGGACCACACTTTGAGAACCCCTACATGATAACCAAATGTGAGGCTCAAGAATTTATATTCTATTCAAATAATAAAAACATTTACTATCATATAGTATTATACATCTATTTAAATGTATATGAATATTGAATCTATACATGTTGTTGTTATGTACGATCAAGTCGGACCTGACTCATAACGACCCCTCCTTGGGTTTGCAAGGAGGTATCACTTTGGAAATAGATTACCCAACCTTCCTTCCAAGGAGTGGCTGGTGGGTTTGAACCACCAGCCTTCTGGTTAGCAGTCAAGTGTCTTAGGCACTATGCTACATAGTAAATATTATTTCAATATTAAACACAATAGTCATATTATATTTACATTATATTTAACTCACTTTGTTGTTGTTGTTGTTATGTGCCGTCAAGTCGTACCCGACTCATAGCGACCCCTCCTTGGGTTTCCGAGGCAGTATTACTACAGAAGTAGATTGCCCCACCTTCCTTCCAACGAGATCCCTATGATTCTGATGGGTTACCTTGTTGTAAACTACTGAAATAAGATCTAAGCAGGAAAGAAGACTGGGCAATCTACTTCCACAAAGATTTACCACCTCAGAAACTCAAAGGTCATCTCTATGCATCAGAATCAACTCGATGACAGTGAGTTTGGGTTTTTGTTTGTTTAGTAGAAGAATGGTTGAGCAGGGGGCAAGGGTATAATGGGCATGATTGCCTTCGTATGCATGAGAAAGTCAAAGTAAATTTTAATGAGAGATAATGCTTTGGGACACAGCTGTAATAGCTGTCATCAGACTTTCTACAGTAACCCATATCATTACTCCAGAAAATGATAAAAATAAAAATAAAAATAGCAAACATGTATTAAACACTTACTATGGGATCATACCCTGTACTAAAAGATTTACATGAATTGCCCAATTTTATCCTCTTAACAATCATTGGAGGTTGGTATCTCTTTTTTTCAGACATGAAACTAATACTCAGAGAAATTGAGTGACTTTCCCAAAGTTCTGCAGTAGAAAGTGATACTTTGAGTCTCTGACTCTAGAGCCTCTGCCTTACGATCATTGTGGAAATGCCTCTAGTATTTCAGATTTCAGGCCAAGAAGATTGCTCTGTGTGTCTTACTCCCACTAAACACAAGCAGCAGTCCTCTGTGCTGTGATGGCTAGTGTTCCTGGCCTGGGATACTCTGCCTATCTTTATTGATTCTAGTTTATGCACAGGATAAGTTTTTTTTTTTTTTTTCTTTTTCTAAATCATTTAAACAGTAAAAGGAAAGAAAATTAACACATCCTCCAAAGTTTCTGAAACATAAGAAATACAGCAGTAATGAGCAATGTTCTAAGCCAAAATGATGGTAGGCATCTTTAAGAAAAAAACAGAAACTATATCTTCATTTATATTGAGTCATAATTTGAAATAATATTTCATTGATTATTGAAGTTTGAGAGAGAAAAAAAAGAGAAAGATTTCAGAGGGTTAGCATCATATGAAGTAAAACAAACCATGGGCTAGACAAATGGTGTCCAACTCACTTTGTTGTTGTTGTTGTTATGTGCCGTCAAGTCGTACCCGACTCATAGCGACCCCTCCTTGGGTTTCCGAGGCAGTATTACTACGGAAGTAGATTGCCCCACCTTCCTTCCAAGGAGTGGCTGGTGGGTTTGAACCACCAGCCATCTGGTTAGCAGTCAAGTGCCTTAGCCACTATGCTACCAGAGCTCCTTTGGGTTACTATAAAAATACTGTCAGCACCTCACCTGTATACACTCAAAACCCAAACCCATTGACTTTGAGTTGATTCTGACTCATAGCAACCCTATAGGATAGAGTAGAACTGCCCCACAGAGTTTCCAAGGTTATAATGTGTATGGAAGCAACAGCCACATCATTCTCCCACAGAGCAGCTGATAGGTTTGAACCACTAACCTTCCTATTAGCAGTCATGCTCTTAACCACTGTGCTATCGGGGCCTCTTCTTTTCTACTCAGACCTTACTATATTGGAGCACATTAGTCTGACTTCCAACAACCACATGCTGCATCTGTTTGCTGAAAGTTGACGCTTCCTACTCAGGGCAAGCTAGAAGATTCTAGGAATTCACACATTTGGAAAGCAAACCTCATATACACTGGCTGGGTCTGGTGTTTAAAAGCCCCATCTTCCTCACTCATTTGGGATAACTCTGAAGTGCATGTTAAATACCTGTCTCCTAGACTTTCCAAACAGAATTAAACTCCTGGTGCCCACAGGAGCAATTGGCTTAATAATGTTCCCTTTATTGGTTTCCTCTCTTCCTTGTCTCACTTCTCCACTTCCATACCAGCGTTTCCTAGAATCTCCTCCCATATAGTCCCTTATACTCAACTCCTTGCTTTTGGATTGCCCATTTGCAAAGATTTTGGGAAAAAATGTACTAAATAGTAAAACTGGACAAAGCATAAACAAATCTGACTCATAAAACACTAGAACTTCAACTTGTGCTTTAGAGTGATCATTGTACATAAACTGGCAATGATTATATTTGTATATTATAGTTTAGAGGTACTACAATATTAATTTGTAAAGATTTCTTCCTCACAGAGAATTTACTGTTAATTTCTTCATCCATCACTATCATTTCCCATTGAACATTTTGGAAGA